ACAGCTCTACACCACCCAGGGCACCTCCTTCCCCTCTTCAGTATCCTTCAGAGCTGTGGGGAACCCGTGACATCCCCACTCGTGGGACCCCATAACCAAGCCCCGAGTGGGAGCAGCCCCCCCAGCACCCCCTGTACTCTCCCATATATTTAGATATTTCAGCCAGGAGAGGCACATCCATAATTTTCTCTCCAGCTCAGCGCAGCGGCCGGTGTTTCTCCTCCCGTTTCCCACCCCCTCCGCCATCCATGTATTAATCAGTTGAAAACTGCGCAGAAGATGGTGATGGGTTCAGGAGGGCTTCATGGTTTTACTGGAAATTAAGTCAAAGGGGCTTCTTGTTTAGCAAAATGGGTGCTGGGGTGGGAACCTCCATCTCTTGGGGATGGAAGCAATTGCCTCCTGGAGAGGGGAGGCTGCTTCTGGGGGAGTGGGTCAGGCATGGAGGAGTCACCTCATAAGCAGGAGCAGATTTTGGGGCCTCTGCAGAGCAAGTGATTCCTCCCCTCACAGGGATGTGCTTTGTTGGAGAGGGGAACCAAAGACATCCGTGGATGGATGGATGGATGGATGGATGAATGTATAGGTGGATGGATGCATGGATGCATGGATGCATGGATGCATGGATGCATAGGTGGATGGATCCATGGATGGATGTGTGGATGGATGGATGTGGATGGTGAAAGGGTGGTCCCTCTTCTCAGCAGTGGGTGAAACCAGGAGCCCGTTTGGGGCAGCGTATCCTCTCGGAGCGGCTGAGACGCTTCCCCTTCCCTCACTCCCAGGGCATGAAGCAGCTTTGAGTCAAGGAGGGCAGAAGGATGGCTGAAATCAGTTATTTTCTGGTCACGCCTGTAAGGGTGGGAGCGCTGGGCTCCATCTCTGCTATTAAATGACCTGGGGGCAGACCCGGGCTCCCCATCGCTTTGCCTCATGGGGTCCAGCTGCCCGGCTGCGACCGACGCTGCCCAGATTTGCGCCCTGCCTGCCTGAGGAGCACTTGTGAAAGCGGGAGCAGATGCTTTGGGGATATTTTCCCTTGATTCTGCCATGGTGGCAGCTCGGATCAGCTCCAAGCTCTGCTTGCAGCCGGGAGCAGCTCTGAGGGGTCCACAGTGGGACAGACCCACCCTGCGGTGGCATCGTGGTGACAGTGCCACTCTCTTCTGTCTTTCCAGGAACGAAATTCGGGGCAGGCGGCTCAGCAGAGCATCCCTGACCACACACCCACCCTGGCCCAGCTGTGTCCCTGCTGAGGCTCTCCCAGCTCCATCCATGGCTCCTCCAGCCCTCGCTAACGGTGGGGACACGCCGTCAGAGGTCCCCTACGGTGGCTTTCCCTGCTGAGTCTCTTCTCCCACCACCATCTCAGCTCATCACTCCCCCTGGTCCCTCCTGGAGGGCTTTGCTTCAGGGAGGGGGTCCCCAGGGGACACTAGTACAAGGAGGATGGGGTGGCTGTCCCGTGGCATCGTCCTCCTCGTCATGTGCTGCTTCGTCACCTTCCAGGAGGGTAAGGGCAGCTCTGGCTTTCCCTGGGGTACCTGAATGTCCTTCGCACCACCATCTCAGCTCATCACTCCCCCTGGTCCCTCCTGGAGGGCTTTGCTTCAGGGAGGGGGTCCCCAGGGGACACTAGTACAAGGAGGATGGGGTGGCTGTCCCGTGGCATCGTCCTCCTCGTCATGTGCTGCTTCGTCACCTTCCAGGAGGGTAAGGGCAGCTCTGGCTTTCCCTGGGGTACCTGAATGTCCTTCGCTTGAGCCCTGCCCTCCCATGGGTGTCACCCACTCAAGGAGGGGTAAATTTGGGGAGAGGGGTGGGGAAGCTGAAGGGGCTGTGGTGCATGCACATGGAAAACCAGTTCTCTCCCAGTTTACCCCCATGCAGTCTCCATGCTGGCATGATGTCCTTCCACCATGCGCCGAACTAGGACGGGGTTCATGTCTTTGCAGAGCAGCTTGACATCACCCAGGGTGGAGGAGGTCTGCTCGGGGTCCTCCCCCACAGGGGATGCACCTCTGGGACCCCAGATCCACCCTATGCAAGCCAGAAATGTTGGAGGAATGGGAAAAAAAAATGGATTTGGCTTCCACCCCCTGTCAACGCAAGGTCTCCCAGGGGCATCTGGCTTGTCCCTTCACTTGCGACCAGCCCTCCCCAGCACCTCTAAGACCCTCAAAGCTGCTCAGCACATCATCCCTGGCCAAAGTACAACAACCAGAGCCCCTTGCTGGGCTTGCCTGCCCAGCGGGGAGAGCTTGCACAGGGCACAGGGCATGCTATGTGGCTGTACACCCACCCTTCTTCAGGGCAGAGCCACCCGTACAACATCTCTTTGATTGCACATCACTGTGCAAAGCCCTCCCTCCCTCCACCCGTCCTCCCCTCGGCCTCCTTCCACTTGCTGGTGGAAATTTATGGGGCTCTGCAGCGAGCGAGGACGGCCAAGCGATGCTCCGCAAGCTGACGGCACCGAAGACCAACGCCAGCAATTTCTAGGCAGAGCAAAAAGCGTCGCCCTCCTTCCCAGCCCTGTCTCCAGCCCAGCCCGAGGGATGGTCTCTGGGCAGGCTGTAGTGGTCCCAAGGACTGGGGCAGCCTCCAGCTCGCAAGGCTGAACCAGATAGCACCAAAGCTGAACCAGATAGCACCAAAGCTGAACCAGTTAGCACCAGTAAGAGCGGCTGGAGGGGACTGGGAGAGGGACCTCAACCAGCCAAGGTTGGCCTTGCACCGCTCTCCACTCCCTGGGAGGAGCACGGGACAGCTTTGGGGGTGGGGGGGTAATTCCCCTCTACCCATCCCAGGGTTTAGCATCTCTGCCTGCTGCAGCAGAGAGGGGGCTTGCCCTGAATGGGAACCCCATTTCAGTGGGGTGCATGGGGGCGTGGGGGGGTGTCACGGAGCTCTCCCCCACCCCATCCCCTTCTCCGTCTCCCCGCAGCCACTTGCCTGGAGGAGCAGCCCAGCAGCCACGCCGAGGAGCGGCTCTTCAAGCACCTCTTCACCGGCTACAACCGGTGGTCCCGGCCGGTGCCCAACACCTCCGATGTGGTCATCGTGAAGTTCGGGCTCTCCATCGCGCAGCTGATCGACGTGGTGCGTAGCCCGCCGGTGGGGACCCCGGTCACACGTGGTGTCTGACTTTTCACCAGTTGGTCCTACTGGACTGCCAGACCAGAGTCTGGGGACCCTAGTGGGAGGTTGGGTTTGGGCACCAGCAACACCCTGGTTGTCTCCAGTGGGTCACAAACCACCCACCCTGCCTCCTCAGAGCAGGGGGGTCTGCACCCCTTCTCTCCATCCCAAACCCTCCCTTCTCCTGACGGCAGGAGAGCTTCAAGGAAAACTGCAGTTCTCCATCCCTCATCCACCACCTACCTGCCCCGGGAGCACCTCTGCGCTTTTCTGTCCATCCATCCCTCGCTCGTTCCTCCCACGCACACCCATCTACCCACCCATCCACCTATATACCTAGCCATCTAGCCACCCATCGACCTAGCCATCTGCCCACCCGTCCATCTGTCCACCTGTCCACTTCTCCATCCTTCCAGCCACTTATCCATGGGACCGTACGTTTGTCCATCCATCAGAGCGGCTCAGCTGTGCGCTGCAATGTGCTATTTCTTGCTGCCATCTAGCGAGCAGATACCTCAGGGACATACAGTCTCTCCTTGGGCTTGTACCAGTTACTTCCAGGAGCTGAACCCCAGAGGTGGAGGGCAGAAAGTGAAGGCAGAGATCTGGGGGATGATGCAGTGATGGGACAAGTCCGCTCTCCATCGCCTCTCACCTCTCCCTCTTTCCCACCACAGGATGAGAAGAACCAGATGATGACCACGAACGTCTGGCTGAAGCAGGTAGGAGCCTGTTCCCTCTCTGGGGCAAGGGCAGAAGTGTGTCAAGGAGGGCACAGAATGTGGGGCAGAGACACCCTGCCCAGAGGGGCTTGGTGGCATCTCCATGGTGCTGTTCCTCTGGGGGATACTGCCAGAGGAGGAGGAGGAGGAAGAGGAGGAGGCATTGGGCAGCTTGGTCCCACCAGGCCCACGGCCACCTGCTGCCTTTCCCTCCGTGTCACCCTCCAGGAGTGGAGTGACTACAAGCTACGCTGGGACCCGGCGGACTTTGACAACGTCACCTCCATCCGGGTGCCCTCCGAGATGATCTGGATCCCCGACATCGTGCTCTACAACAAGTGAGTGACGCTGCAGAGACGGGGCATCCCTAGGGCCAGCTCCCACATTCCATCCCATCCCATCCCCTCCCATCAACTCACCCCATCTCATCCCATTCCACCCCATCCCATCCCTGCAGCTCATCCCGCCTCATCCCATCTCATCCCACCCCAGTAGCTCCCTGGTGCTGCCACCTTGAGAGCTGAGGGAGCTCCTGGCCCTATTTCTTCTCCTCTGACCTTCACATCTCTCCATCCCTGCAGCGCTGATGGGGAGTTCGCCGTGACCCACATGACAAAGGCCCACCTCTTCTCCAATGGGAAGGTGAAGTGGGTGCCACCCGCCATCTACAAGAGCTCCTGCAGCATTGACGTCACCTTCTTCCCCTTCGACCAGCAGAACTGTAAGATGAAGTTTGGCTCCTGGACCTACGACAAGGCCAAGATTGACCTGGAGAACATGGAGCGCCACGTGGACCTCAAAGATTACTGGGAGAGCGGCGAGTGGGCCATCATAAATGCCATTGGCACCTATAACTCCAAGAAGTATGACTGCTGCACCGAGATCTACCCCGACATCACCTTCTGCTTTGTCATCCGCCGCCTCCCACTCTTCTATACCATCAATCTCATCATACCCTGCCTGCTTATCTCCTGCCTGACCGTGCTGGTCTTCTACCTGCCCTCCGACTGTGGGGAGAAGATCCCCCTCTGCATCTCCGTCCTGCTGTCCCTCACTGTCTTCCTGCTGCTCATCACGGAAATCATCCCGTCCACCTCGCTGGTCATCCCTCTCATCGGCGAGTACCTCCTCTTCACCATGATCTTCGTCACGCTCTCCATCATCATCACCGTGTTCGTCCTCAACGTCCACCACCGCTCCCCCAGCACCCACACCATGCCCCACTGGGTGCGCAGCTTCTTCCTCGACTTCATCCCTCGCTGGCTCTTCATGAAGCGACCCCCGGCGCTGCCCCCCCCCGAGGGGACCGCGGGGCAGTACGACCTCCCGGGGACGAGGCTCAGCACCTCCCGATGCTGGCTGGAGACCGACGTGGATGACAAGTGGGAGGAGGAGGAGGAGGAGGAGGAAGAAG